CTTGACAGAGGGGTTGGTTTGGGGAAAGTGAAGACGTTTTGTCGACAGTGAATGAGTTGTTGAGAAATATCATTTGGATTGTTGGGGACTGCTATCTTTAGAGCCTAATTGAAAGGGACTTTATCTACTGATACGAATGTGATTGGTTATCTGTTTTTTCTCCAGTGGCACCCAGCTGTCCAGGTGTGAGCTAAGAGATGCAGCCAGATGATTTTCCAGGGCTAGAGTTTTATAAGAGGGATGTGGGGGGTGAGAACACTGAGGCAAGGACTGTTGGATTTTGGGGACTGAGTGGTTAGCATGCTAGACTGGGGAACAGAAGCTGGATATGGAGGGAGGAGAAGGGAGAATGTAGCAAGTAGGGAAAAATCTGGGAGTCAGTGAGTAGCAGCCTCAGCAAGCATGAAGCACTGATTTATTGGCAGTAGCCTGGAAAATTCTATGGACAGAGGAGCCTGGCAGGTTGCAGTCCATGGGATCACAAAGAGCCGGACACGACTGAGCAACTGAATACACACACACATGGAAAAACAACAGCCGAGTGAAAGTTGGATGGGCCAGCAGCAATGGAGAGCATTGCTGTAATGGAAATTTGAATTTCCGATTCAGGCTGGACGACTGAGATGATGATCGGGTCTGTGGTTTGGTCAAGGGATGAGGTGGTTCAAGGTCACTGGAAACAAGGCAGTCAAGCTGTGTGTTGGAGGTGTGTCCGCACAAAGTCCTGAAGTCATCCAGGGTGGGGGGGGGGGGACTCTGGGGGAGAGGAAGACCATGGACAGCAGCCAAGGTCTCGGCAGATGAGGGGCAGAGTCGGAGACTGCCCTTGGCAGTGACAGCCTGGAATCAGATGGTCTTCCATCTTGTCAGAGTCAGCTGGGTCCTCCCCCCGCCCAATGTGAATGCCATTGCTGCAAGAGCCAGATGAAGAGCTCTGCAGTTTCTTCCTCGACACAGAGCTGCCTGGGGACTTTCTTTTTTGGGTTCCATGTTTGGTTCTCCCCTCTTCTTAGCCTACATTCATCCCCTGGTTGACCTCAGCAAGTGCCAGGGAGCTAATCACAATTACATGCATCTCCAGACTCTGGAACTTCAGTCTGTTTAAATCTTCACTAGGACGTTCACATGGATCTCAGACTTGGGGTGTCCAGAAACAGAGTCTGCGTTCCTAAACTCTGCTTCTCCATGACTCCTTTTAGAGAGTAAATGGCAATTCCGTTTTTCCAAATGCGTGTGAAAGTAGCTCAGTCGTGTCCAACTCTGCAACCCCATGGACTGTAACCTGCCAGGCTCCTCTGTCCATGGGATTCTCCAGGCCAGAATACTGGAGTGGGTTGACATTCCCTTCTCCAGGGGATCTTCCCAACCCAGGGATCAAACCCAGGGATAATAGGGCTTCCCTGGTAGCTCAGACAGTAAAGAATCTGCTTGCAATGCAGGAGACCTGGGTTCAATCTCTGGGTTGGGAAGATCCCCTGAAGAAGGAAATGGCAACCCACTCCAGTATTCTGGCCTGGAGAATTCCATGGACAGAGAAGCCTGGTGGGCTAAAGTCCATGGGGTCGCAAAGAGTTGAACATGACTGAACGACTTTCACACACATTTTTCAGTTTATTCGGCTCCAAATCCAGAAGTCATCTTTGATGCCGATCTCAGATCCACATCCATCACCTGTTTCTGTTCTTTTTACCTCTAGCAGAGCCAGAATCATTTGCCCACCTCCAAATGGAACCAGCTTATTCCACACACACCGTCTTGTCTCATCTACATTATGGCCTCCTAATTGGTATCCTTGTTTCTTCTCTTGCCCTCCTGTGGTCTATTCTCTACCCAGCAGCCACGGTGACAATTTTAAAACTTAAGTCATGTCAGGCTTCTGTTCAAAATTTTTTTCTCAGCCTTCCATCTTGGTTGAAGAAAGAGCCAAATTCTAACCGTAGTCCACAGACCCTATGCGAGCTAGCTCTGCATACCTCTGACTTATTTCCTATGCTTCAGCCGCTGCCACACAGTATCCCTTGCTTTTTGCTCCGGCTGAATTGACCTCTATGCTCTTTATCAAACACACCAAAAAGTCTTCACCTCAGGACCTTTGCACTTGCTGCCTGAGATATCTTTGTTCAGATATTTGCATAGCTCAGTAGGTCATCTCTTTCAGGGCTGCTGCTCAGTAGTATCTTTTCAGAGAGGACTACTCTGACTTCCCCCCTCACTTGGATTTATTATTGTCCATAGGACTTAGCACTCCCTGATTTAACCATGATAGGCTAAATAATGCTGTGGTAGCAGATCCTGAGGTGACGTGGCTTGTAACACAAATGTACGAACATCCAGTGGTAGGCTGGAGCCAACTTGTACTGAAGCAAGAGAGCCAGTTAAATTTTCAGGAAATTTGTGAGTCATAGTTAAGCAGCATCATTATTAAGAGTTAAATTACATAAACTTACAATTAACATACTTAAGATGAAGCAATACATATTCAAAACACATCAGTTCTCCATCATTTCAGTATTATCATTAGTGTATACAAAGTTTATTGTTATTACTATCCCATATCATTATGACCTCTGTGCTTGAGGTTATCTATGCTTCTTTTATTTGCATGTTTGGAATACTATATAATATGTGCTACTATGTGAGGGTGCATGCTAAGTCACTTTGGTTGTGTTCAACTCTTTGTGGCCCCATAGACTGTACCCCACCAGGCTCCTCTGTCCATGGTATTCTCCAGGCGAGAATACTGGAGTTGGTTGCCTTGCCCTCCTCCTGACTCAGGGATCGAACCTGCATCCGTTAAGTCTCCTGCATTGGCAGGCAGATTCTTTACCACTAGCGCCACCTGGGAAGCCCCAAGCTACTGTGCATCTCTACCTAATTCCTCATCCAGTGATGACATGTTGGAATCAGTCATATTGGGAATATTTTCACATCCCTGAAATCAACAAATGCTACAAATCAAGGTTTGATTGCTTTTGTGTCTCTGTGTGTGTGTGCTTTTCTAGACTTAAAGAAGTGATGGGAAAAATATTTATGATGCAGATTAAACTTTAAAGTGTCATGTCTGCAGCCATTACACTCTGAATAGTGAAAATTGAAGCAGTATTCAAAAACCTACACCTGATTTGGCAAAGAGGTTGCTCACTGCTGATGAACGAGTGAAGTTCTGACTCATAGATCTTCATTGTGTCACTTTCATCTTACTTGTTAACATAAATGAATACATCAACCGACATTTATGTTGGAACTATGCTCATCCATCAGTTGCAACCACAGGTTGATTACGGATACAAGACTTCAGCAAAAATAAACCAAAGCATCTGTATTGATTGGATACATGGCATTTCAGTACAGAGTACTGTGTGCATTACTATTGTAAACTGATTATGTCAATAAAGCTTATAATAAACACACACACATACCCCATACATATATCCCTCCTCCCCTCCTTCTTTGGAGAGCTGGTTGTTAGACATTTACTGGGTTGATTGCTCATGCATGTTACAGTCCATCATGGGCCTGTTCACACCCCTCGCTCTGGGCCAGATGATGGCACTTGTACCATGTGCAGAGTTGGTGGGGCAGGGGAAGCGGGCCACACTCAGACTCACTGGCTTTCAAAGGCTCCGTGTAGAAGCGACATGCACTTCCCTGTTCCTATTCCACTGTCAGGAGAGAGCCGCGTGGCCACGCCTACTGTAAGTGAACAGAGAAGCGCGATTCTGTCGTGTGCCTGGAAGGAGGGGGAGACCTGGAACGCCCGTGCACAGCCCCATCACCCCACGGTACATTAGCGCTTGTGCGCGTATTGTCTGCCCCAGTCCCACAATGAACGAACGTCACACTGGAGAGTGTTTTGTCTCCTGTGGTCTCCTGGAGGATCTTGAGACACTCAAAAAGTACTTAGCGAAGCTGAGAGGAGACTGGCCTGAAGGAGGAAGTTTCTGGAAGTAAGCCCTCATGGATAATGGAGAGTCATCCGAATCTTGAAAAGCAATGTGCTCCTATCACCCCTCAGCATACTATATGCAGCTGGAAATGTGTGACACAGGAAGCCACACAGATGCATGTGGCTCTGTGTCCTTTAAACAGGCCCTATGGCCAGAGAAGGAGCAAACCCTGGGGGTGATTTCAGACTGACCCAGGCTGGGACCAGGGTGAGGCCCACAGACATCAAGGACAGTATCATTCAGGTTGGTGCAGGTCTAGGGCCAGCCCTCAGAAGTTAGGTTTTGGCCCCTGGGTTCTTTGCTGGTCTCACCTCCTCCTGGCCCTCGGGCCAGCTCTTCTCTAGGAACTGCTGCTTCCAGAGTTAAACAGATAACCCCAACCCTACTGGCTGCTTCTTCCCAACACAGCCGCATGGTAGTGTAGGCAAGAGAATTCTGAGCTGAGGCAAAGTTTTCTTCACTCTCTGGCTCAAAGGCTTCATTAAATCCTGGGGGCTGAACTAAGGCTCTGAGTGCTGAGCGGGATGACAAAAGTAATAAGCAGGGGCATTATATGTCCTAGAAGTCTCAGGTGTCTACCTCGGGTTGGAACCTTGGAGCTCAGGAGTACGCTGTGACTCCAGGTGGGTTTACTATTATCACACGCCAGGGAGGCACCCGTGCCACTTCAATTTGTTGGCTATCTACTATGTGCCAAGGCTTTCCTATAGGGTGCTTCATTACCAGTACTCAGGTCTACTAGTTTTGGCATTTCCTATTTGCTAAAAAAGGAAACTGAGTCTAGGGAGATTAAGTAACTCTTCTGAAGTCAAAAGGAAAGTGGCAGAACCAGGATTTGAATGAAATCTTTCTGACTCTGATATCTGGTCCCTCTCAATGAGGACACCTCCATCAACCTGTGAGAAAAGACTAGAAACCCGATCATTCAGGCAACACAAACTCAGGACCCTGGGTTTTACTGGTGTTAAAAAAAATACCAGCATCATTTCCACATTTAATTCACATGACAAACGTCCATTGACTTGAAATAAATTCCAGTTGGACCATAACAGCTTTTTTTTTCTTTCAATTTTTATTGAACACAAGTATTCTGACAGAATGCAAAGTCAAAATTCTCAGTTAGTACTCAGTATTTACACCAGTGAGAATGGAAACAAAGGTGGTATCGATGTTTCACTTGGTAAAAAGTTTGTAACAAGAGAGAAGGCCCCCGAAGTCGGGAATGCTGGGTAGAGATGTTAATGGAGATCTGATAACCACCATCCAGACAGACAGCCTACAGTGAAAACCTGGGAGTTGGAAGGCTCCATAGAAAAGTGTGAAAACCGCGTTCCACTTCAAAGCTGCATTATATACACTATGGCCCTTCAGGGTTCGGAGGCCCCACGCGTGGCACCCGAGTGCCCCTCTGGCAGAACCTGGCCACGCCGGTCTTTATGTGAATACATATGTATGGCACATACACATATAGACACACAGACAGTGGAAACTGGTAGGGTGATCCCTCCAAAAAATTAAAAAAGGAAAACTATAAGCTTTTATCTCTTAACATAAAAGATACAACGTCTTGAAAATAAAGCGACTCCCTCTATGATTTTAGAGAAAGCATTGCTCTGATTTGCTTTTTATTTTTCAAAGAAAGGAAAGCTCACGCATGCAGAGACAAATCTACGTGTGACGGGAGAGAGGCAGAACAAAAGGCTGGCAGTTTGGGGTTCCAGCAGAGATGGGGTCTGGGGAGGGGGAGGGTGGGGAGTCAGCTGCCCTGGGCCAGGTTATCTGAGGGTCGACCATACCTCTTTCTCCTCCTAACCACCAGAATCAAAATCAGTTCACTTGACCACAACCCCTTAAAGAGAGATGCACAGTCTCAGTGAGGTATAGTGTGGGCTTGGCTGAGGTGGTCGAAGCCATTACCATCCCAAGATGAGGAATCGATTCCACTGACAACCTGGGGAACCAGAGGAGCCCGCCGCTCCCCGCTGGGCCCTCCCTTCAGTCTCAGAGGCCCAGGAGCTCCCACCTGCTGCGTGCTCTAACCACTGTCTCCGTCCTGGGGGCCTGTGCATTTGAACCAAAGATTTGTGCAAGCCCTAAGGTCAAAGGGCCAGACCTGTGTAGACCCGGATCCTCCCTTTCCATCCCCAGGAGCTGAGAAAATGCAAAATAACCGCACACTGAGCAAATGACAAGACCATTATTTTTCACAGTTTGAAATAATCTAGCATAGCGCCACTGACCAGACTGCAGAAGTGTCAGAACACGGGGAGTGTGGCCCACAGACGGACGCAGAGGGAGTCTTGCCACCCTAACTTCTGGCTGCTTCCTCTGTACCTTGGGAAAGGTACCCGCAGAGTGCTCATTTCTGTTGACTTAGCATCATCTTCATCATCATCATCGTTTCTATTTCATTCTTTGTTTAAAGGCTTCAATTCCTTTTAAGAGTTATTTTTTGTTTCCTGAATGTTTTTTTTTTCTGAACTATCTGCTATACCTTCCACAACCAAACTATGTTGAAGTTTTATTTCAATACTATGACAAAAACACGTTTCACACTAAAATATTCACGCATCCACAGTGCACAAGCTTGCAGTTCTAAAGTAGAATGAGGGAAAAAAAAAGCAAAATTTCTATACAAAGGGCTGGCTTTTCCCTTCTCCCCCCTCCCATCCCCCTTAAAGTTTCTGTATTTTTTTTCCCCCCACTTGGTTTCCAATCCAGGAAAAGTTGTCTTATGACTCCAGACAGCAGGTTGTTTTTTTTTTTCTTTTGTTTCTACAAATGCTGCCTAAGTGAACAGAAGGCTGATGTTATTTTACTTCAACAGATTTCCAAAAAAAGACACTAATTCCCTGAAGCACACATGCTCTTCCGCTCAAATCTAGATTCTGGGCTCAAAAGGAAATTGTGTGTATATATTTTATTTGGCTTTCTACAAAAAAGGGGATGTTTGGGGTAAAAATGTGTGTTCACCAAGACCAGCCCCGACTATACAATCTTCTCTGCTTCATTCAACAAAGCCTAAGAGTCCTTCAAAAGGAAGGGTGGGGACGCCTGGGGAGCAGATCCTTTTCACAGATACGGGCAGGTGGTCACTAATCAGAAGTGGTCTAACCCCCAAGGAAACAAAAAAACAAAACACGGAACCGAAAACCCAAAAGCAAAACCGTTCCAGAATGAGATGGATTTTCACCTGAGTCGCACACAGGCAAAAATTTCAAATCAGAAGTGGGGGAAGAGCCACTGTAAACAATTAGATTTTGTAAAGTTGTCCTGGGAGGATCCTACACCTCTAGGCAGTATTTGTAACTTAAAAAAAAAAAAAAAAAAAGGCAGCTATTTTACATGGACATCGAAACACAACTGAAGTCAAACATTTGTCAACTTGTAAACACTGGAAAGCAAAGTTGGCAGAAAGAAAAAAAAAAAAAGGAGAAAGAAAAGAAATCCGAATACTGCAAATTGAGATCTACCCCCAGAAGCTGCATTTGGCATTCTTCCTACAAAACAAGAGTCTATGTGGGAATTGAATTCAGCTAGGAAGGGCGACACACTTTGCATACTGAACAAATACAAAGTGAACAGAAATTATAACTTATTTATGAGGTTTTACAGAGTTCAAACTCGACTGAAAGTAGAAAAATAAACTTGGACTTTGTTCATTCGGTTAGTCTTAGCGTCTGGAAGTTATTTCTCTGAACCCGGTCTGTGCCGGTTCGGCAACACCAAAATCCTGAACCTAGATTCTTTTTTCTTCTGAGCTTCCTAGATTCTTAATTTGGGGTCCTTTTGTTTGATTTTTAAATGGTTTCAGGGAACCGAGTGTCCTAGTTTGGCTGTGGGTTTCACGTTTTTGTCTCGTTTTCTTACAAGTGAGTGCGCAACAAAGGAACCCTTTCTATAAATCTACAAAAAGGAGATCCCATGTTGATCTGCTTAGTTTTTTTTTTTTAAAGGCAAAAGACACTAGAGGAATGAGATGTGTGTGTGCGTGTGTGTGTGTGTATGTGTGTGTGTGTGAGATATTGGAGATGCTCTGGTGAAGCTGTTGTGTCACTTTTTATTTTGATCTTTGCTGGTGTCTCGTCACCCATCACGCTTTGCTCCCGTTCTCCTTTGTTTGTGTGGCATCGTTGGGGACCGTCTGGACTTCGGCTGGCGCTGGCTTCGTTTCTGTCTCCGGCTTTGCTTCTACGGGACCCTTCCTGCAGAGAATTGGGAAAACAGCACTGAGATCACCGTCTGCCGTAAGCCACCCTCCAGCCAGTCCCTCAAAAGAGCACTGGACTCCAACTTCAGCTGCATGTCCGGATCACCTGGAGCCCCTGAAAATCACTGACCCTGGGCCGTGTCCCCAGAAATCCTGGTCTCCTGGGTCAGAATGTGGTGACTTTTAAAAGCACCCAAGTGGTTCTAGATGTGCAGCCAAAGCGGAGAGCCGATGAATCAGAAGAAGGCACCCTTCTAGCCCTGGCCTGATGTCGGGGGCTCCAGCTTTGCCTGGAGTGTGGGAGTGTGTCGGGAGCAGCCTCCTCTCACCCGGCATGGGTGCTGCAGTAACAGCTGCCCAGCTTGGTCTAAATGATGCGTGTGTTGGGCTCCCCGGTACCGATTCCAGGGGACCCTCTGCAAACCGCCTGCGCTTGCCTGTCTGCACTCCCACCGCGCTGTGCTCTGCCTTTCCTGGTGATGCCTCTGTAGGGCTTTCCCCTGGCAGGATAAGCAGACGCTGTTTGTTACCACGCCAGTTTTCCATGGGAGTCTGGTGAGAGGCTGGAGCGGGCTGCCAGGTTCCAGGGGAGCTGAGTGGGGTTGGGTGGGCAGGGCCGTCCTTTTATTTCCCTACAGACTCAGGACTCGGGGTGAGGGTCCCCCCGTCACTCTGGGTGGCAGCACCCCAGCTTATCTGGGAGCAGCCAAGGAGCCTCTGTAAAAACCTCCATCTGACTCAGTTGCTCCTGGCTCCAGTCAGTCCCGGGAGTGAGAAGCTGGTCTAAGGACGCACCAGAGGAGGCTCAGACTCCAGGCCCAGCTGGTACCCCTGCACTCTGGCCTCACATTTAAGAAACCTGTACACTGAAGGACCTGGCCTTGAACTTGGGAAACCCGGCCCTCATTCAGGGCTTGGGAGCTTGAGTCTCTCCCGAGTCACTCGGGGCAAGAGCAGCAGAAGCAGGTGGGTTGGGTGTGTGGGCGTCCGGGCTGGGGTGTCTCGGGGCCTTCTGGATCAGATCCTACCCACCCCCCCCCACCAAGCCTCAGGGTCTGCCTCTTCACTGCCTGCACCGCCATGCTATGCTGGTGGGGACTTGGCCTTGGCCCTGGATGATACCCCACCCACGGGCCCTAGGGTGGCCGATCAGGGCACCTTGGCCTCCTTAGCTCACTTCCCAAGCTATGCTCATCAGCGACCCAAATGCAAGGGCTCCTCCAGGGACAAGAGATGCCACCGCTAGGATGATAAGGATAAAACGTAATTAACACGGCCTAATTAGTAAGCAGGCGGCTGCCTGCCTATCCCCCGCTCTCTGCCTTGGCCCAGCCCCTGGCTGACGGTCGCCTCCAAGAAGCCCTGGATGAGGCTGCAGACACAGCTAACAAGGAGGACACAGCACAGACGCACACCACCACGGACACCACCCGAAGACAGCGGACAGAGAGAGGCCGTACTCGGTCTTGGCTGGTGCAGGCGGAAGAGAGCCGTCGGCCGTGGAAGGAGCAAGCTCAGAGGCTTGTCCACTGGCCCCAGCGGCGGGAGCAGGAGAGCCCAGGGCTGCAAAAACATCCTTGGCAAGGTCAATATCTGGGGTCTTGAAGTTCCCTTCGTCCATTTTAAAGTCCTCGCCCGGGGCAGGGTTTGTGGTGCTGACGGAGGCCGCCTCGCTCTTCGGGCTGGTGAGGACCCTGGCGGCCTCGGGTGGGCTCTTCGAGGCGCCGGACTGGGTGGGCTCGGGGTCCGGACCTTTGGTGCCGGGGGCCTCCTGCTTGGCCTGGGGGGCTTCCGGGGCGGGGGCCGTCGGGGCTGCTGCCAGGGGACTGGCTGCCGACGGGGAGACGGCCTTGCTGGCTGGAGGGGCCTTGGGGGCCTCGCCCGTGCTGGCCGGGGCGCTGGGGCTGAGCACGGCCCCCTGGTTGGCCAGCACGCTAGAGGACAGGTTGCTGGCGGCCGGGGCCGAGGACGGAGGGTCGCTCAGGTCAACGAGGGGCGCGACCTTTGGGGCTGGGGCCGGGGCCGGGGAGGCGGCAGAGACGCCGGACCCCTTGGACGGGGTGGCCTGGCCGGCGGGCACAGAGTTTGAATCAGGGGTGGCCGCGACCGGGGGGGCGATACTGGAGGTCAGGGTGGTGGTCTCACTGGTGGGGCTGTTCTGAGCAGTGGCAAAGGTTTCGGTGATAGTGTCAGAGTTAGCGGTGACGGTGGTGACAGAAGGCAGCATGTCCTCGACAGTGGCTGTGGTGTCAGCAGGCAGCCTGCGGGGAGGACAGGAAGTAGAAGAGATAGACGATGAAGCTGAGACAGACAGAGAAGCCAAGACAGGGCGGAGGCCAAGGCGGGGGCCGAGGGCGGGCATGCGGGGACGCACAGGCAGGACACAGGCCCACAGAGAGAGGAGGGCGCGGGAGGCAGCACAGGCCCGGGCGGGCAGAAGAGGACACAGGAGACGACAGAGAACGTGGCAGCTGGCGGGGGCCTCTCGCCTTCCTCCCTGCCGACTCCCCGCCGCCTGCCTGGGGCTGCCTGTCCCTACACCTGCAGCGGGCCTTGCAGAGCCCTGCTCACGTCCCGGCCCAGGGAGAGGCCAGCTGAGCTCAGCGTCCACCACCGCGGGCATCCGAGGTCCCTGGGGAATCGGGCCCAGCTGCCCCACAGAGAGGGGCTCCGCGTGGCCCCTCAGGGCTGGGGCGCTGTCCAGCTGGAGACTCTGCGCTTCCATCAAACTCCATTCCCTTCAAACCCACGGTTCCCAAGACAGCCTGGCGTTCATGACACCCAAAGCTGGGTGTGCCTTCTGACTGAGGGTCCTCAAGGCTTAAGAGACCAGCAGGGCCAGGCTTTACCAGGTCCCCAGCTTCCCTCACCCTTTTAGGAAGAAAGGCAGAAAACCCTAAAATTCTTGGAAATCCTAAACAGAATCTGCTAAGCTCTCTCAGTGACGTTTTGTCTCCTTGAGTCATTTCCGGTGTGTGTGTGTGTGTGTGTGTGTGAGACCTGGGCCCAGGGTCTAGGGATCCCACTGATGCACAGAGCTCTTTAATGTCATCCACAGTCACCCAGATAGGACCACGAATGCCTCCTCTCTGAGGAGAGTGGGGTCAGGCATTCCTGGCCCAGGACTCCAGAATTCTGGCTTGTGATGCCGGGCCCAGAGCCGCGGGCGGGAAGTGCGGAGGTGTGGGTAGGGCACTGAGGCGGGTGTGGGGCTCTGCCAGGGAGGGCCCGGCCCCACCCGCCCACGTACTCGGGCTCTGTCAGTGGCGTGGTCTCGTTGGGCTCCGTGTGTTTCCCTCCGTCGTGGTTTGGGGTCCGCTCCTCCTCCGTTCGCACCTCCACGATGGGCTCCTTGGACTCGTCTTTCCTGTGGAGAGAGTGCCGCTGGTTCCATACCGGGGAGCTGGGGGAGGCAGGGGGCTCCCAGGGAAGCCAGCCACACTTGGGTACCTGCTCCCAGCCCCAGTCTGGTAGGGGCGCGGTGCATCCAGAGCCAGAGCCCAGGGTTGTATCTCAGCCCCTGTTCCTGTCACCTGTGTGACCTTGGGCACCTCATCTGCTCACCCATGCCTGTGCCCTCACCTGTAAAATGCGGCAAGTACAGTCTCTACTTGCCTAGATGTTATGAACATCAACTGAGACAACGAATATAAAGTACTGAGAAAAGCACCTGGCACAGATTAGTGCTCAAGTCATCTATGTGTGTATACACGGTCAATATGTATATGCATACCTATGTGTATATGTAAGAATGAACAAGTATACCATGTACGTACACGTGCAAGTATATATAAGTATACACAAGTCTATGATGCATGTATATGCATATTTAAGTATATGTACATATATATACATTTAGGTAAAAATGTACATGAACACCTGAGTATATAAATGTATATGATACATATATAAGTATATGTATATGTAAGTTTGCACATGTACCTCTATTTGTAAGTATATGTAAACATGCACACATATATGTATATGTAAGTATGCACATGAATATAATGTATGTATAAGAATATGCACATGTAAGTACACACATGTATACATGTGTGTGTCTACCTATATGGACTTCCATGGTGGCACAATGGTAAAGAATCCCCCTGCCAATGCAGGAGACTCGGGTTCAATCCCTGGGTTGGTCAGATTCCCTGGAGAAGGGAATGGCAACCTACTCCAGTGCTCTTGCCTGGAGAATCCCCCACAGAGGAGCCTGGTGGGCCACAGTCCACGGGGTCGCAAAATAGTTGGACATGACTCAACTTCCTAAGAGACTAAACAACAACAATGTATGCGTATATGATGCATGGACATGCACATACTGTAGTACATGTATGTGATGTATGTATATGCAAGTACAAACACATATGTGTATGAGTAAGCATGTATATTGGAGAAGGCAATGGCAACCCACTCCAGTGTTCTTGCCTGAAAAATCCCATGGACAGAGGAGCCTGGTAGGCTGCCGTCTATGGGGTCACACAGAGTCGGACACGACTGAAGTGACAGCAGCGGCAAGCATGTATATGATGCATGTAAAAGTATATGTATGTGTACACGATACACAGTGCCTGGCATGGGGTGGTGCTAACAACCCAATTCCTTGCTCTGTCCTTTCTGACCTTGCTCCGGCTCAGCCCCGCCTGCCGATAGTCTGTGAGGGTTCCTCTATTTGGCTCAAGATTTGTTTCTCCAGAGATGCTGGATCACAGCTTCTGTCTGGATCGTCCTCCAGGAGGATAGGCATTTTCATCTGTTTTGCTCACTGCGTGCCCTAGCACTTGGCGACGGCGCCATGCCCACAGCAGCTGCTGCCCCGTGAATATCTGGTGAGTGATGGAGGCACGGATGGCGGCAAGGCAAGTGGGTCTCTCCACGGCAGCTCCCCTCCAGGCTAGGCTCTGACCACACCCCTCATTTTGATCTACATAGGGAATCTCTATGAGATTCTAGATGTGGGATTGGGTTCAGGAGTCTGCTTTTAACATTTCTCTAACGCCTCGCGTCGCTTGGGGCTTGCAATGGGAAGGCTGAGGTGGCTCCCTGATGGGGGCCCCGGCCTGGGTGCTTAGCAGTGGGGTGGGGGGGGCAGGTCTGCACTCACGAGAAGGCGGCTTTGCCCTCCTCCATGTCCTTGCCCTTGGCTCCGGGCCCGGCTTTGCCACACAGGTTGACGGCGATGCACATGAGCAGGCCACACTTGTTCAGGAAGTAGCAGGTGACGTCCACGGCCACCAGGAGCAGGACGAAGGTCACGACGAGGATGCCCACGATGGCGCCAGTGCTCAGGCCCGAGGTGGGGCTGCCGTTGGCTTGGGTGGGAGGGAGAGAGGGATGGGGGTGGTTAGTACCTGCAGATGCAAACCCAGACCTGAAGAGCAACAGCCCTGGGGGTGGGGTAGAGCCCGCTGGACGGCCACGGCATTTGTGTCCAGAGTGCCACCGTCCCTGGGCCTTTTGGGGGTTGAGACATCAGGGTCTCTTCCTATCTTCAAGACAGAGGAATGGCAGCCTGCTCTCAGACCAGGGGACGGGGCACAAGGCAGCCACCAGCCCGGACAGGAGCCCAGACTCGCACCATGTCTCCGCCTCTGGTCTCAGCCTGCACTCAGCTGGTCTCCCTGGGAGCCCTGGGAGCTGCCCGGGGCAGGGTCCCAGATAGGGGATGAGGGTCTCAGATGGGGGAGCAGAGGGTCCCCAGGGCTCCTTTTGGGCTGTGGGGACATCGGGGACAAGATGCCGCGTGCCTTCCTGCTCTTTAGGAATTGCTCCAGAGGATCTCGACTTTGGACCACACCTTCCTTCACTGCACTAGGAAGATGGATGAACCCCCCTGCTCTGGAGACATGGGGGTCTCCCCAGGCCCACTGGGCAAGGTAGAAGGTCTGGGAATACTCACCATCTGGGAGCCAGGCCCGCTTGGATTAGACTTCTGGAAACCCAGCAGACTCACCCAAAGATACACTCCCGCAACGGCAGGCCCACTCACACGGGACACGTGCCCACCACAAGACAAACGCACCCTCTCACATTCGAGCAATGCCCAGCATCCCTGCTCTGGCTGGACCCACTTGAATGACCACCTCTGTCTTACTCCCTGGTGTCCCCCTAGAATCCTCCACGGCCCTGGGCTACTCGTGGTGTCACGGAAGGACCCCAGGCTCAGCTCCAGAGTACCTCCTCTGGTTCGTGCTAGGTGCCTGCGGTGAACCCCGGATTGCCTGGGGGTTCCCACCAGCTTCGGAAAGGCAGAGGCTGTGCTGGGGGGAAGCAAGGGCCCATGCAGAGCTCTGTGGAAGCCAGTGTGGAACCACGGCCTCAGACTGAAAAGTCTGTTCCACTTTCCTCTTCTGGGAGGACAGGGTTAAGGACAGCAGTGTCATCCTACCACCAGACCTTGTCTGAAGCTTCCTGTGTCCTCCAGGCCCACTGGGATGACCCGTCTGTGGACTGGAGGCAGGAACTGTGGCCAACACAACCTGGGTCTCCCTAGGCCTTTGCCTGGGGGGCTGCTGGCCACATCACATGCCAGTTCACGGAAGGAACAGGTAACCCAGGGTGACGGAGATGGAACACATCCTCTTTCTGCACGTGGTCTGTGTTCCTGTGCCCCAGAGCCCTGCTCAGGCATGGTGGGGCTGTCCCATCCTGATGGTCCTTATTTCTAACTTCAATTCAGGGTCTGGGTCACCGGCCAAGCAGCTAAGAGACGACCTCTCACAACCTACTTTCTGCACCAGAGGAGCCGCCTAGGATCTTGAATATTTTGGCCTCCTTTGCTTCCCAGCCCCTCGCCAGGCTCTCCCACTGGCCCCTTTCAACCCAGGACTGAAGACATGGCCTGTTTCTCAGGAAGACCCGAGTCTGGTGACCGGCTCCACGCTCAGGGCACCCGGCTCTGGTCACGCTGTCTCTAGGCTTTGGCAGCAGGAAATTGACCACGGGTCCCTACGGTCAGCTAGAGCTGATCTCCCCAGCACCACACCGTCCACTCTGCCTCTCCAAGGTGCTCACACATCCACACACAAAAGGCAAGAAACAGCAATGCAGGCCTTGCTGGTCTTCAGAATCCCAAAGCTGCTTCCCCGAACAAGAAGAAATACAGCCTTGGGTTTCCTCCCCATCCTGTGACTTAGGGCTGGAGGCCACTGCGGTCTCCTGACCTCCGTACCCAATAGGTGTTAACTGTCTACTTCCTGCAGAAGGAGCCTAAGGTATTACTGCAGGGAAAGAATGTCTGTACTTTTGGACTCAAAGGCCCCAACACCATGTTCTGAGGTTGATACATAAATATAGTTTTAGGGGACTAGTCACGTCTCTAAGGAAGGAAAACAAACCACCGCAAAGTGGTCTGTGTGGGAGAGGCAGCCATTATCCACCCATGCCCTGGGCTCAGCAGACCCTCTGGAGGGCTGCATGGCTTGGAAGGCCAAGGCCAACATCACGAGACGTTTGGGGAAGGGCCAGGAGGGCAATAAGACTGATATAAAACAGAAGGCAGGGCAAGAGGTCTGCCCTCTCATTTGACATAAGATTCAAATTGCTTTCCCTGGTCTAATGGGTCCCATACATGCGGTGGACTCTCCCACGCCTCTGACCGTCATAACTCAGGACACTTTCTACCCATATCTACCACATTACTCTGTTTTATTCCCTTCTTGCCTTTCCAGGTGACTCAGTGGTAAGGAATCTGCCTGCAATTCAGGAGATGTGGGTTCAATCCCTGGGTCAGGAAGATTCCCCTGGAGAAGGAAATGGCAACCTATTCCAGTATTCTTGCCTGGAAAATCCCATGAACAGAGGAGCCTGCTGGGCTACAGTCCATGGAGTCACAAAAAGTTTCAGACACAGCGACCAAACAACAATTTAGTGACTAAACAATTCCCTTCTTACTACTATTTCCATCTGCCATTTTCTGTTCATTGACATGAACAGAATTTTTTTTTCTTTTTTTTTTTGCCACACCGTGCAGCATGCAGAATCCTGGTTCCTGGACCAAGGATTGAACCTACACTCCCTGCAGTGGAAGTGCTGAGTCTTAACCACTGGACGACCAGGGAAATCCCCATTGATGTGCTGTTTATGTGGCTGCCCCACCCTCTAGAATATCCTAGCAGGCATATTTGTCTCTGAGTATCTCGTCTCTCAGGAAAGTAACACAATTCAACTTACAAGAATGTTTACAGAATATTTGCTGCACAAATGAGCAGTGTTTAGCCTTGGAGATGAGAACTCTGCCTCCAAATACTTAAAGATATGTCACAAGAAGGTAGAGGTAGTCTCAACCAGGGCTCCCAGTGGATTGAAATAAAGGGGGTGGCAGGCAAACTTCAGCTCATATGAGAAAGAACTAGCAAATAAGAGGTCTTCAGACATGGTGTGAGCTGCCTTGGAAGATGAGGTCCCCATTGCCAGAGGCATTAAGCAGAGGATGGAAAACCCCTTGGTCAGGATGCTGTATTGCTCTGGCTGAGATTCCTGCACTGGGCAGGGCCTGGGATAGAAGATGTGTTCAAGCCCTCTTTAACTCTAAGAGCCTGTCATTGCACGCTAGATGTCTTACAGTTCCCAGCAAAGGACGCTTCTCCTGCTAAGTTGCTTCAGCCGTATCTGACTCTTTGGGACCCCACGGACTGTAGCCCGCCAGGCTCCTCTGTCCAGGGGGATTCTGTAGCAAGAATACTGGAGTGGGTTTCCAAGCCCTCCTCCAGGGAATCTTCCCTACCCAGGGATCAAACCTGTGTCTCTCATGTTTCCTGCATTGGCAGGTGGGTTCTTTATCACTAGCGCCACCTGGGAAGGCCCCCAGCACAGGATATAGGTTCCTTAATGTCCATCTCCTCCACGGTGTGTACCAGGTAGGACTTTTTCCTTTAAGACCGAAACACTTAGTCGGTCCCATCTTTATTCACAGATTCTTGTGATTTTTATCTCTAGTTGAAAAATAAATACCTTTTAGCATAATGTTTCTCCACCTGCAGCAAAATTTCTGGGGTGCTTTGTGAAGAATTCAGATTCGGGGGTTCCCCCATTCTAGGAAATCAGAATCTCTGGGGTGAGGCTCAGGCTCAGGATTTGATCAAGCATCCCAGTGATTCTTATGCAACTAAGAGCTTGAGGACCACTGTTTTCTAGGTTTTTCTCATCCTTGCATTACAATGAGTAACAGTTGTTCCTATGACTCACCCCTCAAGGATGAGCTGTGTAATCTTACCTGGTAGCCTTGACATTACTGATGTATTTGAAGGATGGAAAGAGAGCAAAGACTTATCCCCAAGGGATCACTCACTTTACCACTAAGAATCTAGACTTACAGAGGAAGTGAGGTGTCCCTCAAGCTGAAGAAAGGGTATGTGGTGCTTTTACAAAAAAATGTAAATAAAGGCACTTTTTTGTCATTTTAGTCACTAAGTTGTGTCCGACTCTTTTCAACCCCATGGACTACAGCCTGCCGGGCTCCTCTGTTCGTGGGATTTCCCAGATGAGAATATTGGAGTGAGTTGCCTTGCCTTACTCCAGGGGATTTTCCCAACTCAGAGATAGAGCCTGAGTCTCTTACATTCTCCTGCATTGGCAGGTGGAATATTTACTACTGTGCAACCTGGCAAGCAAATAAAAGACAAACTGGGAATGGAAATGAAAGAGTATCCAAGTCAAGCCAACATTCATTACCTCTCAGTGGCCTTTACAGAATTGTTCAGTTCAGGAAACCAGAAGGACAAAGGTTATCGCCTACATATTGCTTAACATTTTACAAAAGGGGAAAAGAAAACTTCTGAGGTCTTTTCATGACCTTCCCCTGACCTCTCTGCATACAAAGAGTGCCTCCGGGGAGCAATGTCTCCACAATCTCTGGGCTCTGAGCTGCCCTGAACCTTGAGGCTATGATCTGGGGCTGCTCAGCGGCTGTGGTTCCTGGCCTGGGGGGTGTCGGTACTGAACAGGGACCTGGCTTGCTCAAGACTGAGACATCCAAGTGCCCACGCTCTTAAATGCCGCAAAATGGGAAGGCAGTCTCAGCCCTGGCAGATGACCCCAGGGCCGCAGTCACTGCACTCCAGGACGGCAGTGCATAAAGACGTGCCCGTCTCCCTCCTCTGACTCTCGGGACCATTGAGCTGAGGTTCCGGTTCCCTCCTGAACACCTTACTTGTCTGCTGAACAGATGGCTAGGTCTCGGGGCTTTCAGAAGGCATCCAACTAAGTGTGATTATAAAGAGTAGGGTCTGCAAATGAGCACCTTCTCTCCGATTCTCTCTGTCACCAGGTCACTCTGTGCAGCCTTTGATATGAAGTTGTAAAGGGAGCCGTG